TTGAATCTATAAATTGCCTTTGGTAGAATTGCCATTTTTACTATGTTGATCCTCCCAATCCAAGAGCAAGGGAGATCCTTCCATTTTCTGGTATCCTCTTCAATTTCTTTCTTCAATGCCTTAAAGTTCTTGTCAAATAGATCTTTCACTTCCTTGGTTAGAGTTACCCCAAGATATTTTATGCTGTTTGTGGCTATCGTGAAAGTGATTCTTCTCTGATTTCCCTCTCTGGTGCCATATCCTTTGTGTATAAGAGGGCGACTGATTTAGTAGAAGACTGGAAATAATCAAACTGAGGGCTGAAATGAACAAAATAGAAACACAGAAAACAATCCAAAGAATCAATGAAACAAAAAGCTGGTTCCTGGAGAAAATCAACAAGATTGATAAACCTCTATCCAAACTAATCAAACGGCAGAGAGAGAATATGCAAATTAATAAGATCAGAAATGAAAAGGGGGACATAACCACAGACACAGGAAATTCAGAGAATCATTTGATCTCACTACAAAAGCCTGTATGCCACAAAACTGGAAAATGTAAAAGTTATGGACACTTTTTTAGATAAATACCACTTACCAAAGTTAAACCAGGACCAGGTGAACAATTTAAATAGACCTGTTAGTCGCGAAGAATTAGAAGCTATTATCAAAATTCTCCCTACCAAAAAAAAGCCCAAGACTAGATGGGTTCAATGCGGAATTCTACCAGATCTTCCAAGAAGACCTAATACCTATTTTCCTTAATGTTTTTCACAATATAGAAACAGAAGAGTCATTGCCAAATTCCTTTTATGAAGCTACAGTTACTCTGATACCTAAACCACAAAAAGACTCTATCAAGAAAGAGAATTACAGGCCAATCTCACTCATGAACATCGATGCAAAAATCCTCAACAAAATACTGGCAAACCGAATCCAAGAACACATTAGAAAAATTATCCATTATGATCAAGTAGGCTTCATTCCAGAGATGCAGGGCTGGTTCAACATATTAAAATCTATCAATGTAATCCATCATATAAATAAACTGAAAAAAAAAACATATGATCATTTCATTAGATTGCTGAAAAAGCATTTGACAAAATTCAACATCCCTTTATGATAAAAGTCTTGGAGAGATTAGGGATACAAGTGTCATACCCAAATATAATAAAAGCTATTTACAGCAAGCTGACAGCTAACATCAAATTAAACGGAGAGAACCTCAAAGCCATCCCACTATAATCAGGAACACAACAAGGCTGTCCACTCTCTCCGTACCTCTTTAATATAATGCTGAAGTTTTAGCAATAACAATAAGACAACATAAGGGGATCAAGGGGATCCGAATTGGAAAGGAAGAAGTTAAAGTTTCGTTATTTGCAGATGATATGATAGTGTACATAAGCGACCCCAAAAACTTCACCAAAGAACTCCTACAGCTGATAAACACCTTTAGTAATGTGGCAGGATACAAGATCAACTTCTTTTTGTAGTTTTAACTTTTGTATTTAATTCTGTGGTACATTTTCAGTTAATATTTGGTCATGGTATGAGTATGTTGTGTTTTTTATACTTACATAAAAAATTTGTTTTACACTGTTTGTTTAAATAGCTTTTCTTCTTCAATGGAATTCCTTTTCATTTTCACCAGAAATCAAGCCAATTTTGTTATATAATAGGTGTGTGTGACCCTTATCATTTCATTCTATAAAATCACATAACACACTGGAAGAGCAAAACTACAAGTTTGGGACCTAGGTTGGTGATTCCCGGGGATTGTGAGGAGTGAAGAAACACAGACAAGAGATAGCATGACATGTTTTCTGAGAATTGTTCTATATCTGATTTTGTTAATTATTCCAAATGTATATGGTATGTTAAACCTGTGGACCCGTGCACAAAACTGTAAATCATATTTTATGCAAATTTAAAAATAAAATCTTAAGTTAGCCTAAAAAAATACCTACAGGACTTAAGAGATAAACAAGAGCCACCACTACAGTAATTACTCAGAGCCACATGATTTAAAAAAATGTAGAAAGTAAATGTTAAAACACTGTTTTACGTGTTCATATATATAATTGAGTACTTAATGACTGCGGTGTACATTGTGCCTTCCCTTAGAGAAAGGCCTTACGTTTGCTTGTAGGTATAGATATCAGAAACATTTCAGTTGTGAGTTATAATAAAGAACTGGTGGGAACTGTATTATCTGAATTGGAAAGGAACGCTGTTGGACTAGGTAGACAGAAGTGACTCATAACAAACATAAGCTGAGGTAGCTGGCAGATGTTTGTACTTTCTGTATTCTACTAGTCTTCTGTATACAGTTAGCCAAAGGGAAGTCCACGTTTTGCTTAGGTTATTTTCTAATATACAAATTGCATTGAAATTGATTTGTATTTTGAAACAAGATTATAGCAGAACTAAATATCTTTCAGTATATTAGTTTAATCATTGTTCCATTGAAAGAGTATATATGTGCCCAGCTTTCTTCTATATTTGATTGTGTTTATTATTATATCTGTCTGGTACATATTTAACTTAGTATAAGATAATTCAGGGTTTTTCTATATTTTTCAAAACTTATTTACAGTACTTTTTTCATGTTCTTTCACATATGTTTTAGATTCAGGTTGTTGATTTCTCCCAAAGAAAGCTTATTAGAAATTTATTGACATTTCATTGATTCTCTGAGTATGCTTTAGAAGAATTAACAATATTGAATCACCAGTGTATAAATACACTATATCTTTCCATGTACTTAGAATGGCTTATTTCTTTCATCAACGTTTCTAGTTTTCAGTATAATTATCTTATGTCTTATGTATGCTGATAAGCTATTTGCAAAGTGTTTAGTGGTACTATAATACTCCTTTTAAATTTAAATTTCTATTTTTCTGTTACTTTTATAGAAAATATTGAGTTTATATTGATACAATTGGTTCTCTGAAGGCTTTGAATACAAATCCATTTTTGTCCATGCATGCTGTGCTTTTGTAATATTTGTAAGGTATAAATTACTACATCACTTTATACTGAGGATAATATGACAACTTTTGCTATTTTTTTTTATCCCTGAAGATTATAGTCCTGACAAAGTGCATTTGCCTCAGCAATCTTTAAATGCTCTTAAAGAGCTTCAACATTAAATATTGACTGAGTTTTGTTGTTTCAAATTATCTTTTTCAAGAGTAATTTAGGCCAAAGTAAAATATTTGAATATTTAATTCATTATTTTGGTTTTTGGTATTTCGTATTTCCTGAGATTTTTCAACCTCTATTTGTGATAATGCACAGATTTTGGGCTTAGCAAAGAGTCAGTGGATCAAGAAAAGAAGGCATACTCATTTTGTGGCACCGTCGAATATATGGCTCCTGAAGTAGTAAACAGAAGAGGCCATTCTCAGAGTGCTGATTGGTGGTCATATGGTGTACTTATGGTAAGTTGTATTATTTTCCTTACTTATCTCAATATATGCTTCATAATATTTAGGGCTTTAGTTTAACTTTTGGGTCAGTTCAGAAAAGTTTTCTTCTGATAATTCATGACTAATGTTTGCAACATTGTGATTGGTAAACAATAAGGGCTAATGTTTTAATGTTTTTCTTTTAATGTTCCTATTGAAAAAGTAAATGGCAAATTTTTTTTTATATAAACTGTATCTGAAATTTAGAAAAGGTCTAGATGATTCTGGACCTTACCAATATTTATATACTATTTTATTATGTATCACAGAATTTATCACCTTCATCTTATTTGTCCAACTGTTTCACACCTGTCCTATAATTACTGGCAGTTGTATTCCTATTATATTTTTATCTCACTCAGTAACTAATAGAGTGGTATTTATATAAGTTCTAAATACAGGTGATAGTTGGCTATTGAATCATGTCCATTTTCCCATTCATCATGTAATGTATAGAGGACATGACACTGCCATACACTAAATAGCTGTTAAAAGCAGGCATTTGGGGAAGGCAGTACATAAAAACTAATTAAACTACAACATTTTTCCTGATTAAAGAACACATAAAATCTGCTGGAGAAACAATTCACATAACTAAAGAAACTCTCCAGAAGTATCCTAAAGTTTGAGGACGATTTCATTTAAAAGTTAGTATAGATGAGAGAGATGGAAGTTAATTGCTGAAGTATAAATAAAATTTAATAGCTGCATGTTAAGAGAAGCTAATCATTGTGATTGTATTAGCAAGTCTTCGGGAAGCCAGTTTGGCTAGAGAAGTCGGGAAGGGGAGAGTGGGGAACGTGCAGCTGTAAACCCGTAAGCCTTCACGCGATGCTTTTGCTATATGCAACCTCTTAGAGTTTGAGTCAGGACGGTGAAGGAAAGTTAGATTTTAGGAAGATTAACCTTGGCATTATATAAGTAGATTGGAGATGGGAGGGAAAAAAATCCCTAGGAACAGGAAAATAAAATCTTTCAAAATTGTCGTAAGATTAGAGTTCACAAAAAAAGAAAATTTTGAAGGCATTTCATAGCATTTGACTAGTCTTAGTAGCTGATTAAATGACACAGGTAAGGATGGAGGAGATGATCCAAAGGTAAAGGTCCCTTTCAAATATCTGAATTTAGGGGTGTGAAAGTATAGTAGATTGGTAAGAAAGCTATATTGGTAGAAATACCTACTGGCAACTGGTAGGGAAATAATGCATCCACATGTAGCACAGGTTAACTGTGTGTAAAAAGGGACACTGAAGAAAAAAAGGAATCATTTGGCAACTTTATGAAAAGATTATATCACAATGAGAGGGAGATGCTATCCAACAGTTTGTGAGAATGTAGGATTCTTAGATGCAATCTCTCTCTCCCTTTTTGTCTGTCTACCATCATATTGCTATAGATTTGGGTGAGAAAAGTAGTGACTGATCGAGAATGAGTTTGCCGCAGCTGATTTGTTGTTGCCATGGTACAAGAGAGATTAATGTATAAAGCAACTAAGGTTATGAGTTCAGCTTACATGAACAGAGGACAGATGCCAAAGCCATTAGTCAATTTTAGTTTGCAATATAATTATTAGTTCTATAATCTTGTATGTATATTCATGAGCTTGTTTGTGTGTCAGACTAGAAGTTGACAAAATGTATCTTCCTCAGTTGAACTTCACTTTATTATTGGACCTGAATCTCATCAGTTTAACTAGACTGACTAGCAAGCTCCAGAGGGATAACTAGAGGTCCACTTGTTTCTCTTCTCACAGTACTGAGCTTAAGGATGCATGCCTGTCATATCCAAACTTTGTGGCAGACACTTTTCCCACTAAACTATTTCCCCAGCTTCTTATAAAGTTCTTTAATGAACTAGTAAGATCTTTAGTTTAGGACTTTGTCCCTTTTTCCTTCCTTCCTTCCTTCCTTCCCTCCCTCCCTCCCTTTCTTTCCTTTTCCCTTTTTTTCTTTTGTTTGTTTTGTTTCAGTACTAAAGATTTAATTAAACCTTAGATCCCTGTTCAGTCTAGTCAAATGTTCTACCATAAAACAGAATTCTCGCACTTAGACTTTAAAAAATAATTGTACATATTACTTTATCTTCATTCTCAGTTGGATCTCCATAGTAAGATATTTTCTTTATTCTGTGTGCAAATGTCTTCATTTTTTCTTTTATAAATGTATTATTTCACACAGGCGTATGTGTGTATATGTCTCTTATATTTTACTTAATTTTGGGTTACTGGATTTAATCCCAAGGTCTTGCATATGCCAACAAGTGCTTTACCACTGACCTGTGTCCCAAGACCTTTAAAAAAATTAGAGGTAAGGCCCTTTAAAGGTAACCAGGATGGCCTTGTGTAGTAGTTGAGGAAGGCATTGAACATGTAATCCCTTGGCTTCATACTCTAAAATAAATGATATTATAGGAATATACCAATACCATTGATCTTACCTCCAATTTTGGAATTCAGTTTCTTAATTTCTATATTTTTGTCTTGAGATTAAAAGGAATTTAGAATTTAGAATTTTTAAATTTTTTTCTTGGCATGAATAAGTCCCAGATGCTTTGACGCATAATTTTATTTTCCCATTATTGTTATTTACGTAAACTTATATCTTTGTTTATAAAACAGCTTAAAAATAAATAAATAAATAAAACAGCTTAATATTTTTTTTTCCTTTAACAAGAAGAATTGTTGCTAAATTGACTTTCATTTTTTTTTTCATGCAGAATTAGGATTTTTTTTGCCCCTACTTTGAATATTTTTTTTAAAAAAGAAAACAAACTACTTTTTTCATTATATGTACCAATCCAAGTTCCCACTCCCTCCCCTCCTCCCATTTCCTCCACATACCCCCTACCGGACCCCCAGCCATTCCTCAGAGAGGGTAAGGGATTTTGCTTTGGGAAAGGTCCAAGGCCCTTCCTACTATATCAAGGCTGAGCAAGGTATCCATCCAAAGAGAATAGTACAAGCTGTAGGGATAAATCCTGGTGCCACTGCCAGTGGCTCCACAGTCTGTCCCAGCCATACAGCTCACCCACATTCAGAGGGACTAGTTTGGTCCTATGCTTGCTTCTTCCCAGTCTGGTTGGTGTTGGTGAGCTTCCATCAGCTCAGGTACTGTTTAAGTGGGTGTCCCCATCATGGTCTTGACCTCTTTGTGCATATTCTCATTCCTCCCACTCTTCAACTGGACTTTAGGAGCTCAGTCCAGTGCTCCGATGTGGGTCTCTGTCTCTGTTTCTATCAGTTGCTGGATGAAGGTTCTGTGGTGATATTTAAGATATTCATCAGTATGACTACAGGGCAAGTCAAGATGTGGCCCTCTCTCCTCTATTGCTTAGGGTCTTAGCCGGCGTCATCCTTGTGGATTCCTGGGAATTTCTCTAGAGTCAGGTTTCTTGCTAACCTGATAATGGCTCCCTCAATCAAGATATCTCTTTCCTTGCTCTCATCTCTGTTCTTTCTCCTTCTCAACTATCCCATTCCCTCATGTTCTCCTTATTCCTACCCTTCTCGCCTCCTTTTATTTTCCACCCTCCCTTCTTCCCCGAGCCCCGTGCTCTTAAATTTGTCAGGCAATCTTGTCTGTTTTGACTTTCCAGGAGGATCTATATATGCTTTTCTTAGGGTTTACCTTATTACTTAGCTTCCCTAGAATCATGAACTATAGGCTCAATATCCTTTGTTTATAGCTAGTACCCACTAATGAGTGAGTATATACTATATTCATATTTTTGGGTCTGGGTTATCCCATTCAGAATAGTGTTTTCTAATTCTATCCATTTGCATGCAAAACTCAAGATTTTGCATGAGTAGTACTGAGTAGTACTCTAATGTGTAAATGTGCCACATTTTCTTTATCAGTTGAGGGGCATCTAGGTTGTTTCCAGGTTCTGGCTATTACCCCATTTCTGATTGTGTTTTAAGTCACTGTCAACTGAAATTTGCATGATTTAATAGTCATGTACTATAAGTCTTGGTTTTAAAAACAAATGTAATTATATATTCTAAGTTGTAATAAATTGTGATTATTTTATTTTCTAGTTTGAAATGCTTACCGGCACTTTGCCGTTTCAAGGTAAAGACAGAAATGAGACCATGAATATGATACTGAAGTAAGTAGAAACACTATTTTATTTATGGAAATATTCTTGTCTCTATTATTAAAATCAATGTGGTTTTCAACAGACTTAAACTTTTTTTTCTTTTTCTCTCATTCTAATATATTGGGGACTCATTAAAATTTTTAAAATTCACTTTGAGATTTATTGACTTACTACTATGTCTAGATTTAAGTGAAATTTTCTGCAATGTTTTTCAGAGCAAAACTTGGAATGCCTCAATTTCTTAGTGCTGAAGCACAAAGTCTTTTGAGGATGTTATTCAAAAGGAATCCAGCAAATAGATTGGGTATTATTAATCTTCTTTAACCTTTACAACAATGTACTACATATAATAGCCAAGAAAGTGTATCTTTATGTTTTAGTTTAAGTTCATTTATGATTACTGTATATTTACATTTGAATTGTGGACTTTTAGTAGTTTACATCAAATAAAAATTTTGCTTATGATTAATCAGCAAAATTAATAGACATGAAATAGTCTCGTTAACAGAAATCATGTACATCATATGAGCTGCCTTTTGAAAAAATGCAGTTTACTATGTATTGATAATCCTTTTAAATGTTTGATGATGACTACTTTGCCTCTCCTAGTATACTTCAAAGTTATATTGCCTTTTCCTAGATCCTAATGTGATCCTATTATCTATATCCTTGTGTTAAAAAGTACAGTGCTGTTTTCACCTTTGTAGAATTTAACATAGCATATGACTATGAGACATGAATTGTGAAGGGCAATTACTTAGTTTAATATTATATTAAACAGAAATTGTATTTGTTAGGAGGCGTTTTAGTACCTAGTATTTCATTGTTGACTTATACAATTCACTATATGCATCAGTTTTCTTTCTTATTCATAGTAGATAAAGGACAAGTTAATACAATACCAGACAAGAAATCATAGATACTTTACTCTAAGCATCCTAGGAAAAATATACAGTCATGGTTTTGTCTAATAATATAGAAGCTAAGTAGCAAGATTAAAAGATTATGCCATTAAAACTATTTCCATATTACAGGATCAGAAGGAGTTGAAGAAGTCAAAAGACATGCTTTTTTTGCATCTATTGACTGGAATGTAAGTTGAATATAAGTTGTTATTAAATAATTTACATTAAAATGAGTAAGATTCTTTTGAACCTAGTAATATAGAGACTTGGCAGATACGCATAACCCATGTATTTTATATTAAGTCTGATATTTTTGTTTATACTTATCGCATAGCATGGCAATACCTTGAAGTGGTAGAGGTCCTGATATATTAATTTCTGTTTATCATTTGTTGTAACTGTTGTAATATGATCAATATTTATACTTCCACTCTAGATGAGGAGAGGATGAGATAGGGAAAAATGAGTGAGGCTATGGCAGATCCTAATATAGTTAATAATATTAAACCCCGATATTTAATTTCACATTTTTCATTGTTCTGCATTAGAACAAGCTAAATCAAGAAAAAATGCTGTACTATAGATACTTATGCTTGTGGATGACATGAAAGAAAAAACACTGAGGAATTATACTAAATTATTCATATTTTTATTTATATACCCAGACTGATAGTCTTGTCTTAGAAAAACTCACTCTTCTAGTTCCTTGAAATATAATAATTCTTTGATTTTTTAAGTTTAGGAATTATAGGTATTATTTTTCTTACTTGTCTCTGTCATTAGTTTCAAATTTTCCAGATTCTTGTTTTTTCCCCTTCATTCCATTATTTGTTCAAGTGTAAGATGATTGAAAACTTTGGATTTACAAAGTTTTCAATATTCATTTTGTTATTGGTTCCAGTTTTAATATGCTATTATGAAAGGATACTTGATGTGATTTACGTGCTTCCAAATTCATTAAGAATTATTTTATGACCTGTTATATGGTCTATCTGGACTATGTTCAGTGGATTTACGAGAGGCTATTGGGTGGAATTTTTGGTAGATATATGTTTAGTCCATTTGGTATAGGGAACATTTTAACATGGTTTAATAGTGTTTTTATTGGTTGATTGAAGTGATAAACTTCCTGGTTTTTGTTCCAGGTGAACATTGGTCTCTCTTTAGATCATTATTATTCTTACATTTGTTTAATATTTGGTACCATGTACATTTAAATATATCAGTTTCTTTTGCTGATCTGACCTCTTTCTCATAAAGACCTTGTTTGCTTTTAGTACTTATGACCTCAGCTCTATTTTGTCTGCTGTACCATCATTGACACTTTGCTTTAAATTCAGTTGATCTGGACTGTTTGACTCCATCACTTCACTTTCACTCTATAATGGTGAAATGGATTTGTTGTAAACAGCATGTAGTTTTGTTCCGCCCTTTCTCCTTGAATGCGGCTTTGTTTTGTAATACTAAAACAAGACGTTATGATCACTAGCTTCATTTCCTTGTCTCACTTGAAGCTGGTTTAGTAAGTGAATGGTTGTTCCACTTGGTGGTGTTTATGGACACAGATTGTCAGAGCATCTTTTTCAGCTGCAATCCTGTTTACTCATGTGTGTTTTTAAAACATACACAGTTTAGCCACTTAGAATATTAAGAAGAATGAATTTAATCTTATATGGAAACAAACTATTTTAGATGAAATAATCATGAAAATAATCTGACTACTGATTTTGTTAGTTATCTCAAAACTTTTACATTGTGATATGCTTTGTATGGTTATAGCTCTTGGGAGAATTTATTTTGGTATCTAGAAGTGAACATCATTGTTTATAGTGCAAAATGTAACATCACTATAATATCCTTTGTGTTCTCTGGCTTCATTAGATTTTGGACATTACATCTTAATTGTAGAAAGTGGTTTACAGTTATCTGAAACCTGTATAAATATTTCAAGTCTTCTGATTGTCAATATCATGTTTTCTCTTAATTGAGTATAGCTTACATATCCTAAAATGTTTAAGTTGTTTTTTTAGGTTTTGGAATTTATTTTGTGTGTGTGTGTGTGTGTGTGTATTGTGTGGTGCATTTTTTTTTAATATATATTTTTATTTAAAAATGTCCACCTCCTCCCATTTCCTTCCCCCTCCCCCATCCCCATACCTCCATCCACTTCCCCCTCCCTCTCCAGTCCGAAGAGCAGTTAGGGTTCCCTGTCCTGTGGGAAGTCCAAGGTCCTCCCCCCTCCATCCAGGTCTAGGAAGGTGAGCATCCAAACTGGCTAGGCTCCCACAAAGCCAGTACATGCAGTAGGATCAAAACCCAGTGCCATTGTCCTTGGCTTCTCAGTCAGCCCTCCTTATCCGACACATTCAGAGAGTCTGGTTTGATCATATGTTCCATCAGTCCCAGTCCAGCTGGCTTTGGTGAGCTGTGTGCATATATATAAAAGGAAGTGAATGAATTTGAAAATAAAACCTATGAAATTATCTTGTATTTACTATATCTCATTCATACAACTCAGATAATTTCATAACCATATTTTTAGTGTGTCTGTTTTAGCTATAACTTGTCCACTTATGCTATCAACATTCAAAATGTTGTGAATATTAGAGTATTTGAATTTTAGATGTTGTATTAGGAATGCCCAACATGTGTTAATGATATTTTAAAATGATAAATGTTTTTTTTTTTCATTACTGCATTGCCTCTAGAAACTATATAAAAGAGAAGTTCAGCCTCCTTTCCGACCTGCTTCTGGAAAACCAGATGATACTTTTTGTTTTGATCCTGAATTTACTGCCAAAACACCTAAAGGTAATACATACTTATTTATAGCAAAGGCTTTTGTTCTAGTAATTATTACATAAAATAACTGTTTCAGTAAAAAAAATCTTTGTGCAAAACTAGTTTGGTGTTTGTGTAAATGTAGATTTTATATACAATATTGCTACAATCTGTAATTGGGAAATATTTATCAGTGAAATGTGAAGAAGGGTAAAATGCAGAATTTTTTTCTGTTTTTTTTTTCTTTGTAAATTCCTTCTTAGCTTCCCAGTCTAATAATTTTCTATATATGGTATGAAGTAAAACATGAGATGTGCACTGGATCAGTTTAGAATGTGATCTAATTTACTTTACAGTTTAGAATGTGATCTAATTTACTTTTAGTGACATCTGTTTCGTGTGCTCATTCAAGAAAAATTGAATCCCTACTATGTGGTTTTTGGTAGTAAGGATGAAGCCATTAATAAAAATTGACCATATAAAATGTCAGTCTAAAACAAGTAGAGAGGAAGTATGAGTCATATTTGTTGTGTGTTAGACTGTGATATTTAATGTTTCCTTTCCTTTTTTAAAAAAATAAATTTGCTGATACTGTAATCATAAAGTTCTATATAATTTTAGTAAAATATAACTGTTTAAATGTTAGATTCTCCTGGTTTGCCAGCCAGTGCAAATGCTCATCAGCTCTTCAAAGGATTCAGCTTTGTTGCAACTTCTATTGCAGAAGAATATAAAATCACTCCTGTTACAAGTGCAAATGTATTACCAGTCGTCCAGGTAAATTCTTTACCATCATCACTATGTTCAGTTTCAGGATAAGTATTTTTTTCACTTCTTAATAATGGATGTTTAATAGTTATTGAAAGATCATAGTTAATGACTTTATTTTCTCAATGTAATTCAGTTGAAAGTGTTTCTGTATGTTTGGGGAAAGAACAGATAGTAATCACCTTTAATATTTTTATATGTCTGTTTTGGCAAGAAAATGTTGGAGTGATTTTTAAACTAGTCAATTCACATTGCTTGGGATTTTAAAAAGCATACAATATAGAGTGGCTTCAGAATTTATATTTACAATTTTTAAATATTGGTAAAATTTCTAGAATTTTTTTAACCTTTAATATATGTTAAGATTGTTTGGGACAAAAATTAAGAAAATGTGCAATTCATTTTCATTAGTATTTAATTTGTTTTAACAAAACAGATGAATGGAAATGCTGCTCAATTTAGTGAAGTCTATGAATTGAAAGAAGATATTGGTGTTGGTTCTTACTCTGTTTGCAAGCGATGCATACATTCAGGTTCCAACATGGAATTTGCAGTAAAGGTATTGTTTCTGAGCCTAATTTATTGTTTGATTTACATAGTTTGTATTACAGATTAGCTCATACCGTTTTACTGATACATTGAGGGAAAATCAGATGAGAAAAAGTTTGTGATTTAATATTTCCATTTTTAATTTCTTTGAAAAGTTTCATTTTGGAGAAATGGCATTATTTACTTACTTTTTGTTTTCTGACTAATCTGTAGCATACTATGTTAAGATTGAGCAACTGTAGAACGTAAATAGTATTATTTATGTCTTAGTTAAAGGCAGTATCTTGATCTAGCTCAGTTTTTATATTACATTTCTATTGTATGGAATTTTTAAATGTTGAAACAATTAGAGAATGATGTTCTTGATTTCCTAAGTATTTTTGAATAACAGAACCCAATTGAAGGTTGGCGTGGTGGCAGTTGGGATTACAGGAATTTTCATACGTTCAAGGCCAGACTGGGCTATATAATGAGTTCTAGAACACCTTAGGCCACATAGCACAATCCACCTCAAAACAATAACAACAAAATTCTAGATAGACAGACAGATAGATAAGGGGGGGGGGGGGGGGGGGGGGGGGGGGGGGGGGGGGGTGGCTGGCTGGCTGGCTGGCTGGCTGGCTGGCTGGAGCGATAGAAACATATTTCTTTCTGCATGATAAAGAAAATCATTTAACTGTTTTTAAGATTTTCTGTGGTCTGTTTCTTAGATCATTGATAAAAATAAACGAGATCCCTCCGAAGAAATTGACATTCTTATGCGTTATGGACAACATCCCAACATTATCACTTTAAAGGATGTAAGTATTTTAAAATCTAAGTTTCAACTAAGTTAAGAAAGTTATGAACTAGAACTTTAAAGCTGTGATTCTTTAAATGCCAAATTTCAAATTGCTGCTTTCATTCTCCAGTGATTCTAAGCATGTATTCTCTTTTTAAAGATTTTAGTAAAGAACTATGATTGTTGGCAAAAGAATATCCTAATCATTTATATTCTGAATAGTTAACTCAGTAATGTTGCAACTAGAAATACTTTTCTCATCCCTATAAATGTAAAGGAAATTTATTCTGGAAAATTACTTTCTTGATTATAGAGTAATTGTCTGTAAAATTATGGATCATTTCTTGAATGAAATAGTATTAGTCTACAGTTTTTTTTTTTAAAAAAACCTATAACACACATATTGATGTATCTCTGAATAATGACTTTTATATTATAATTTAGACTCATGTTTGTGAATATACTAAACTATTAAACATCATCTTGATCAGTTTGTTTTAGATAATATGATAATACTTTTATTTATCATATTTAAATAGTAGTTTGTATGTGCATGTATGTTTAAATGTATGTGTATGTAAATATATAAACATATTAAGTAGAAATATATATCAAATATATATACTCATCTGTATTTTAGATATCAAATATATATAAACATACCAAGTAGAAATTTTTATTTCTTATCTATTTCTTTTAATGCACTATTTGAATTCAACATTGTTTCTAGCCATACTAGTCAAAGAACTAATAAGTGCTATGTCTACTACCACAAAAATGATTACTTTTGAAGAAGTATTTGTAATATAATTAAAATAGCATGTACATGTTATTTGAGAAGCATGGATTTCTACTCTTGTTTATGTGTTTTGTTGAAATCTCTAACCTTCAACTTCAAAAACTTCATATTTGATATGATCTTCCAGAACTACACAGGAGATGATTTTTCCACTCCATTCTTCAGTACAACCTTACTATATCAACAAGAAAGAAATGCTCTATGTGCTTTGATTCTAGAGTTGTACTAACAAAACAAAGTAAATATAACTTTAAAAATTTGGAGTAATGATTACAAATAATAAAACCTTAAAACACATTCTTTTTTAGGTCTTTGATGATGGGAGATATGTTTACCTTGTTACGGATTTGATGAAAGGAGGAGAACTACTAGATCGTATTCTCAAAAAAAAGTGTTTCTCAGAACAGGAAGCTAGTGATGTGCTGTATGTAATAACAAAGACAGTTGAATATCTTCATTGTCAAGGAGTAAGTTATAGTTGAATTCTTCCTTCAATTCTGGGACCTATATTGTATTTTTTGTATATTTTTATACACAATATACTAATAAAATTCAGTGTTATAGTGAAGTTTATAGAAAGTGGTTTGAAATATGTCTGTCTGTCTATCTACACACACACACACATACACACAGGGCTTGATTATTTATAGGACAAGGTTAGAGGTTTGTGTGTGTGTGTGTGTGCATGCGTGTGTATTATCAAGCCTAATCAAACCTTAAAGTGTGAGTCATCAAAGAAATATCCAAGTGGGTTTTAGTGGCTCGCCCCTGTAAGTTCAGCACATAGATGGCTGAGGCAAAAAAAAAAAAAAAAAAAAAAATAGTTAAAATTTGAGGCCATCCTGAACTAAATAATGAGTTCCATCAAACCTAGACTTCTAAAAGCTAACAAGAAAAATATTTACAGGCATATAAAAGTATTATTGGAATTAGTCTATAACTATTATATTCTAGCACCAAAACGACTCTCTGTTGACTCTGACCAAATGCCCTAAATATGACAATAAGCTTTTATTCTAAACATTGAACTATCAGTATGTTAACTCTTTTGGAGAAGACTTGCATATTTCTTTTTGTCATTTCATATATATGTAAGGTAGATGTGTTAAAATAAAAAATGAAATTAAAATGCAAACTGCTTTTCAGAATTGATATAGTAGAAATTGTATGTAGCCCCACTTATAAATAATAAAAAATTTTATATGTGACCTAAGAAGACTTCAGTAGTTGGAAATAAATTGTGCAGCACTAAAGGAATACAATAATTTTAGTATGATTTAATCTGTCCAATTTCTTTGCAAGAATTTTAAAGGATAACAAAATTTTTTGTAAGGCATGATAAACCAGAATTTTAAAAATACAATATGATAAACATCTGCTGTTTATTTTTTTATAAATCTTGTTTGTAGAACACTTAACTAGCAGATATTTTGAATATTTATATATGATAGATATTGTAAGCAAAGGGCTTTTTTGATTTAAGCACTAAGTGAGATTTTGCCCTTGTCACTAAAAAGCATACATTGTTGTACATTGCTAAATGAAGGATATGAACTTATCAGACCTAGTCTACCAAACAAGAGATTTTTAGTTTAAACTCAGCCAAAAATTATACTTAAAACAAAATAATAACCACTGGAGAATAGTAACAGAATATAAATATCTTCATAACTTTATTTCTCCATATGATACAACATGTATGAATCCTAAAATTAGATTGAATTGTAGAAGCAAAAAAAAATCATCACATTCAGAATTTAAAGTTTTGCCAATTATTTGAGCCTTCTTCATTTTTTCTACTGAGTTTGCATTTTTTCTTGAGAATTTCATACATTGTAAGTATGTTTTATTTTGTTGAGAATCTTTATAACCACTTAATTATACAGATTCTAACTTGGTTCTTCTGAGAATCAGACCTAGATTATTTTTTTTTTCTTGTGGCTATGTTCTACTTGTCTTGTTTATGCAAATCAGATGGTTTGTAATTGTATCCTATGGTGATAGAAAGTTATGAAAAAATTTATATTTTGTTTCTCTCCTCCAGTGGTTATTATTTTGTTTTAAGTATAATGTTGGCTGAGTTTGAATTGAAATCTCTTGTTTAGTGTACTAGCTTTGATGTCTTCATATCCTTTGCTTTCATATAAAATCTTAAGTTTATGTGTCAGTGCTGGTTCTTTGCTGTGTAGTAGTCTCAACTTTGTTTTTATGTTCTTCTGCTGTCTCTTTTCTGCTCTTCTCAAACAGAAGTATTTATTTTTTTCCAAATGAAGGTGTATAATAGAGACTGCTCTTAGTTCTTTGTGTAATAGCCACAGATATGGGAACCTACCCACAACTCTGGTTCATCCTTCAACCAAATGTGTTACTCAACACTGTTTCTTTACTTTTCTAAATTCTCTTGAGTCTGAAGGCTCTTAACTTGTGTACTATATCAAGAGTTAATAGTTGAAGTGGATGTGGGGCACTGGGTGAAACTTTAGACTATTATATCTAAAAGTAGAACCAATTGAAGATAGAAATACTGGCAGATAGTGTAATGTCTACCTCGCAGAATACTTTTCTCGTTATTTTTGATGCCATAGGTTGGGAATAAAATGGGAAATTTTTTTTCTATAAACATATTAAATGTTTTAACAAAAATTTAGTTATACAATCATAATGCTGTTTTCTTTTGTATTCAAGGTTGTTCATCGTGATCTTAAGCCCAGTAATATTTTGTACATGGATGAATCAGCCAATGCAGATTCAATTAAGATCTGTGATTTTGGGTTTGCAAAACAGCTTCGAGGAGAAAATGGACTTCTGTTAACTCCGTGCTACACTGCAAACTTTGTAGCACCTGAGGTATTCTTTAGGTTTTACTGTTTCCTGATCATTATCTTGCTTAAATTAAGTCTATATGATGGCAAGTATGTTGATGAACACAGGAAAAAAGCAGATGTCATTTTTTATAACTATAAAGCTCTTTTAAAATTTGAATTATAATAACTTATAATATAAAGTCAGGTAATTACTAGCATCTAAATCAAACATATATCTTCTAATCAGAGTAGTCTGTTCTTTTAGGCTATATACTAATATAGAAATTGTATGATTTTTAAAGAGGGTTTTACTATATAGCTATTATTCACTAAAGCTGCAACACACAACAAAGTCTTCCTTTGTCTCCTGATGGCTGGGATCACAGGCGTGTGTCAATATGCCTTGCTAAGAATCATACATTTTAGGACTAAGATACATCTTTAGATTCACTTTTGATTTGTTTTTAAATAGAAACATTGTTTTTGCCTGATAAATCATCTGTTGTTCCTTGGGAACGAAGAGTAAGAGAAGATGAGGCTGGAAAGTTCAGTACTACAGATTGTACTTTAGGAGCTCTCTGATACTAGTACATCCTGAAGCAGTAAGACAAGATTGATGAAGTCAATCAGGGATTGCACTGGCTACATAAATTTCTTTATAACATATGTTTATAAGTCAGGAATTGTTTTTAACATGTTGCAGATGTTGATCATCAATGGCAGTTGTTATATACTAATCCAAATATCTAAAACTCATTTTGAAAAAAATGATTTTGCCAAATCAGAAAAGTGTGATCAGATAATCTGAAAGTGAATTCTTATCTCATATATATTTTATATTTATATCAAATATTTGATCATTTTAAGCAGCTAATGTATATTGTATGTAAATATATTTTAAATTAGATGTTATGAAAATATTTTCTGAAAATGAAAATATATAAAAGTAACTATCAATGAACTATTCTCCTTTTAATTTTTATGAATTTCACTTTAGATGTGATTGGGGTATAAATACAATTTTGCTTTTATAAGCTCTTGATGATATTATTTGGTTTGTAACAAATTAGGAATGTGTGAGTGATTTATTGTGTACTTTAATGACACTTATAATGAATATACAATTTTTACTCAATTATACTGGGTAGAAGCTATGCTTTTCAGAAATAAATCTGGGGTACATATTCCCAAAGAGGTTATTTTATTTGGACTGCCCTCATGTGTATGAGATACTACCTTGTACATAAAAAAAAGTATTTCTAGGCTTTCTTTTTAATAGGTTAGGAAACAAGAATATTTGAAATTTGGTATCTTCTGCTAAATATAATCTATATAGTCACCATAAATTTTCTAAATAGTTATCTTTAATGCAAATAATAATGTATTATCTACTTATTTTAATGGGAAAATTCTTAATCTTGGCTTAATTTTGTATAGTTTTCCTCTTTTTTTTTTTATAGAAACTTACTAGAAAAAGTTTAGGAATGAATGTGCCCCAAAAGAACACCAAAATAATTAAAATAAATAAACACACAGTATATGCAAGTTCAGATTAATGGTTAGGTAAACATTTTAGGATTAATGGTTAGGCCATCATTTCAATGAATATATGTACATAGTACAATACAGTACACTGCTGCTTTTTAATCCTAGCAGACTTCCACTGCAATAAGACACTTGTTTATTGTAATAGTGAAAACTTTTCAGATGGGCATGTGGAGAGCACTTCTCCACAACTGGCATTTATTTGAACTACCTTTGGCTCGCACTTGTGTGTTTTGAGTGCTTTGAAATATTTTATCAAGTGCTGAAGACCCTGCCGAAAGTTAGTAATTATTTCTAAGTTCTTAGAAATGAAATACATTAGTCTTTAAATTTTCAGATTCTGTCAAAATATGCTATCAAACTACATACAAGATAGTCATTTTAAAATGGATTCATAAAGCTTGAAGTAACCATGCAAATATTTTAAAAAATAATAGAATTTATGGGGCTGTGCTTTCATAATTTAATCACATTACATAGAGTTCTGATTTTCTAAGAAAAATCACTGGTTATTGCATTTTTATTTTATTTTTTAGGTTTTTCAAGACAGGGTTTCTCTGTAGCTTTGGAGCCTATCCTGGCACTAGCTCTTTAGACCAAGGTGGCCTTGAACTCACAGAGATCCCCCTGTCACTGCCTTCCCAGTGCTGGGATTAAAGGCTGTTACCACCACCACCTGGCCTTGTTATTGCAATTTTAACAAAGCATTAAAAAATAATGTTCACTAAGTTTTTGGATATGTTTTGCTTCAGTCATCCTTTTATGATTTACTTCATAGATGTGCATTTCTTTATTCTAATCTCTCTAAGATTATCCTCAATTATTTACTTTTATACAAGAAAATCCAAGAATATTATATTATCTGACTGATAATAAATGTGTAATTAAGTCTTAGAATGGTCTTGAATCTATTTAACTTAAAATAAATTTGAAGAATGATATATTCACAGCTTCTGATAATATAATACTGAAATTACCTTATTTTCCTATGGATTGTGCTAGCATATGTTTTGTGTCAAATATTCATTAAACTTTAGTGCAAAAGAAATGAGAATTTCTATATGTTACTTTTTGGAGACTTGAAAATCCAAATGGTAGAGAGGGTTATAGAATTAACTACTTTAATTGTCCTAAATTTATCTTGATGCAAGTGAAAAGATACAAAATTACAGGCTGAATACTATCCTCATTCATTAATTCTGCCACCATGCCTTGTTTCTCTTTTGGCTTTATATAGTCATTATTGTATGACATTGAAGACTAATTATGGAACAAAATATTTTCCTTTTTTACCCACACAGAATGTGACTAAGTTTGTAGGAAGTAAAAAACGAGATTTGTGTGATGAACTATAATATTATAACACTTACTGCACAGTTCCACTGTTCTCATACCTTAGAAAAATTACACAGATATTGGACCTTTTCTTAAGCCTGAGGCTTCTGGATTTAAGCAGTTTTCCTGCCTCAGCCTCCCAAGTATCTAGGACTATAGGTGCATGTCACTGTTGCTGCTATAGTAGGTAGCAGGAATATGGGAGAGTGAAGCCCTAAAATGAGATAGACTAAAGTTTCATGCAATGGCTAATTTTATTCAAAGCATCAGACTGTTTATATTCTCAGAATTAAACAAGGTCAAATGAGCAAAGGTTGCACGCATTTAGGCTTTTGACAGTCACAAGGTTTAACCTCTGTTTGGAAACATCAGTCTAAATAGTAATAGATGATAAGTTATGGTTAATCTAAAGCAAACACACTTCTATTTACTATACCTGGGAGGGGGCAAATAAAGTGTCTGGTATAGAGAAACAGAGGTTACAAGACTTTGGCCTTGTCGTCTTGGCATTATTTCTCAAGCTCTCAGAATCTCATGCAAAGCACCATTTCAGGTAACTCTGTGAAGGCACATAACATACAAATATGAGTAGGGCAAACTAGGTAAACATGGGATGTCTAGAACTGTAAGAGGTGTTAAGAAATGAGAGCATACAAGAATAAAAACACTGTGATGTAGCTTTAGGTTGCATTCATTAGAGCTTCTATAGTCCAGTCTTCCATAGCATTTCAGTTTTAAATATGTGTCCTTTATTTGTTCTAAGAAAATGTCTCATATAGCCAACACTGACCTAGAGCTACCTGATTGCCAGCATTACAAGCATGCATCACCATGCATAACCATGTGTGCTCTTATTTATAAATGTGTTTATAGGAATTATAAATATATTTTAAGCAAGTTACTTATTGTTTATGTCTGATAATTGTGAAAGTCATAACTATAATATTTTAGCCTTTTCTAGATGAAAAGTCCACACTGATGGTTATGTAGCCTTCAATGTTAATGAATTAATAATCTTTCTGTTTTATTTCTTATGCTTTAGCAGTATGCTTAATTTCTTAATTTAAAAAATGATGCCCTCATTTTATCTTTTTTTAATTTTAAAAAAATGACATTGATATGTTTATTTTGTGTGTTTGTGTACATGAAGAGAATGTGTATGCCATGGTGTACATGTGGAAGTCAGAGGAGTCAGGATCATCAGGCTCGGGTCACCATTGCTAACTGTGCCATCTTACTGTCTCCTCATCCCTTTAGTTTTTCCACAAATGCTGTTGAGGTTCTTAGAACTTACATTAATTTGCAGTAAAAATATTTCTGGTATTTGTTAATAATGTCCCTCAAACAAAACTATTTGTACAAATTATTATATAAATACTAATAAAGCTATTAGAAATTTATCAGAAATATCCTGCTGTTTTCACGATACCATCCTTGTGTCTCAAACTATCTTATGACACAAGTTTTCCTATTATCTTGTTTTGTCTTTTTTATTACAGATTTATACCCACATTACATAGATATAAATCATTATTGCAATTCGTTGTTGTATAACGCGTAGTCCTTTTACAAAATATTCACATACATACAACACACACCACACACACACACCCCAATCACTAGGAAAGAGTTATCAAGCAAGATGTGATGACTCATATCTGCTGTAATTCCAGCACTTGGAAGGTTGAAGCAAGATGATTGTCACATGTTTAAGGACAGCACGGGCTATATAATAGGGAGTTCTCAGTCATGCTCGGCTTTAAAAGAAAACCCTGTTTTCATAGATATTAAAAGCACTGCTGTTTAGTAAGAATGCCTGTTCTACAGTACTAACCAGTTTAATGATGATGGGCCGGTTACTTAACATTGCCCTCAGTGTCATCTTCAGAATTGGAATAATTAATATCTACCTCATAAGAGTTAATATCAGAATGAAAAGCCTCAGTATTATTTATAGTTCGATCAAACACTTGTACATATAAGTCTTAAGTTTAGATGTTTGTTTATTCAATTTGAAATGAGGAAGAATGAAGGCTTTTATATCTTACAGGGTTGCTTTTTTTCGTGTGTAGTCTGTATTACATACCAGCCTATAATAATCCTAGATCATGCAGTGTTTGCTGATTTTACTTTTACCTTTGCAGGACACAGAATAATTTAAAATTTTATATTTATATTTATATTATTAATATTTATGAAATTATTAGAATCTATACAATATTGCAGTGAACTATATATATATATATCAGTTTATAGTACTAAGATTTCATACCATGAATTTTTTTTGCAGGTTCTCACTCAACAGGGATATGATGCTGCTTGTGATATTTGGAGTTTAGGAGTCCTATTTTACACTATGTTGGCTGGGTAAGATATTTACAGACTCTTGTTATTTGAACTTGAGTGCATATCTTCATCTAGAAAGAGTACAGAAGAAAATACTGTTAGACATCCCATTAATATTTTCAAATCTATACTTTTATTTATAAAATGAGAACAATACAAAAATAGAAAAGCTTTCATATAGAATATGCTTTAGAATAAGCCTTTCATTTTTACACTGTGTGGTTAACTATTGAACTTACTAGACTATTGATTAGCTGTGTATTATAATAGGAGCATGTCCACTGAGCTTGTTAATATTAAGTTAATTTTATTAAGAAAGCACTTTAATTCTGGGCAACAGATTTAGTAAGATGATTGATAAGAATATAATACTACACATTAAACTAGAGAAGCATATACATACATGTCCACCATTGATAGGATGAAGATACACTCAAAATAAATATGATAATAATTAGACCATGTTAATGTTTGTAATTTATAATTGGTTAAAATGACATTTTACTCTTAATAGGGAGCAACACTTATTTAAAAGTGAATAGTTATGGTTATATGAATTATTGTGATTTTAAAAAAGGAATGGTTAACTAGTAAATATCAGAAAGTTAGGTATGACATTTTAAGTACTCAGTTTAACTGCTTATAAAAACATAAAATACATTAGCAACATAAATTAATGCTAATTGTTAATTGGCTGTACATAATTGCATATGTCAGAATTTTAAAAATTATAAGCTCTTTATAGAATGGTGTACCATATCACATATAGTCAATATTATAGGTTTTAGACCATAGGATATAATTTCTTCCTTGTTGCTTTCAAATATTTGCTTTATGATTAAATAAGAAATTATTATATATAAGTATGTGTTTGATGTTATTTAAGCCCAATTGTTAGATGAAGGAATGAAGACTTTACTGCAAACTGTCTCCTAATACTTTTAACCATAAATCAGCTTTCCAATTCTCAAGTATAAAGAAATTTTGGTTACATCTAATAAAGTGTTACAAAAATGATCACTTTTGTCAAGTTAATTTTTAAAATCCACCTTAAATTTATGAATTTCTTTCAACCCATGAGTAATTTTATGTACATAATTCAGAGGCTGTGTTTTTATTACATTTTCATCAATATTAAATATAATTTGTTTTCATAAATATTAACTGAAAATTGTAACTTATTTCCACTAATTATATTTATAAAAATAAAACGTTGATGAATAAGCTGAATTGGTACAATATATTATAATTATGTAAGAATTAAAACTTCTTCCGAGTAAATATATTGCCTTGCTGACCTTAACCTTTCAAAATAGAATATTTGTGCTTTATTGTGGTCTCATTATAATACTATATGTTTATATAAAAGTCCACCCTTAGTTTGCTGATCAAAGGAAGCAAAGAAGTAATCAGCAAAATTCTTTACTTTGTCAAATAATTTATTAGGATTAAATTCATTGTTTGAGATACATGATTTCATATTAATAGTAAAGGGAATTATTAAGTAATGATCTTACCTAATAATAATGCTTCTTTTTATATTTGTATATAGACTTTAGCCATCACTTTCAATTATGTACAAAATGTACCTTTGTATGTTTATTAAAATCTACTTTATTAACAGCTACACTCCATTTTCCAATGGACCCAATGATACTCCTGAAGAAATACTCCTGCGTATAGGCAATGGGAAGTTCTCTTTGAGTGGTGGAAACTGGGACAATATTTCAGATGGAGCTAAGGTATAACTCATAAATATGTTTAGTTTTACTTTGTTCATATTAAATTATTAAAATCCTGAAACTATATTCCTTATATTGTCATGTCAGTTTTTATTTATTTAATTTTCTTATTACTGAGATTATAATTACTTTATTTTCTCTTTCTTATGTCCAAATCCTGTTGTGTAACCCACTTTTCTCTTTTAAATTTATGGCCTCTTTTTCTTTAATTGTTTGTGTGTGAAAATCAGCCTGCCCAATCTGTATAATGCCACCTGTGTGTATGTTTTCAGGACTGAACATCTGGGATAACCAATTGGTGTGCTCGTCTCTAGGAAAGACTAATTTTTCTTGCTCAAAGCATTTCTCTGTTGCCTGGGTATAGGGTTAAGTTTTTTTAAGCTTTTTTTTCTTTGCATGTCTATTGAGGTCATTCAGTTCAGGACATTATTAGGGAGCTATATTGGTGGGATTTTATGGTTATAGCACTTGTCATACATCACATATACCAAATGAAGTTGAATAGAAATATGTGATCAAAATTGAAAGCTTATATATTATTACTATGTATAGCTGGTATGTTTGCCATCTGAGTATTGTGAAGTGAATAGAAAATTTACTGTATTTTGTTATTCATGTCAGTTATAAAGCTTTTATTATAAGTATATATAGATGAAAAGAAATTTTAGGGTTTCAGTTTAGATGAATTTATTAATTTTGTTGACCATTGTTTCAGCATATTATCAAAGTATAAATGCCCTGCTATAGTATAAGTATAAATACCTACATATTAATATAATAACTATTATACATGAATGTTACATGTATTATACATGAAAGTATAATTTTTCAAAAACTGACCAGTAATATCATAAAAGTAGTCATATGTAAGTGACAAATTATTCGAATCTTCCTATTTTTCTTTTAGCCATCAAAATATTTAGTGAATATTGCTTAAGATAATGATACTTTTGATCCCATCCTCTGCTCATCATTCTATCAAGGAGAACTTTCTTTTTTTTTTTTTTTTGAGGGATGATTTAAAATAAATAAGATAAAGTCCTATTCAAACAAGTTTAGTTTTTTTTAAAGTAGCAAACTATTTACATTTTGTTATGAATACATTTGTTAGTAAAAAACTAATCACCATTCTGTACTGTCTTTATTAGGAAGAAGTTATAATAACAGTCTGGTATGGATTTATGTCTAAGTCATGATTACTGCATGTATATATTAAGCTATATATCAATAGAATACATGTTTGTGTTAAAAATCAGTACTTTCTATATAAATGAACTCCTTTTTGTGTTAAGGCACTTGGAAACCATTTATGAAGTACGTGTTGGTTTTGGCATAAAACACAGTTTGCTTGGCACAGCCTTGATTTATAGCTTTTACTCATGTGTAGTGATTCAAGTCTTAAATTATTATAGCTTGTCTTCAGATAACATTTCATTTTGAAGTTGATTTTTTCTTTAGAAATATAACATTTTACTTTTTCATAAATGCTATAACTTAATGCTACCAACGTTGAATGCTTGCCATATTTATGTGATAGTTATTACCCTGGGTTTGCTCCCCAGTACCTCATTAAACTGAACATGATGATGACACATGCCTCTATTTTCCCAGCACCAGGTAGATAGAACCAAGAGAGTCAGAAGTTGCAGGTCATCTTGTTCAGGGATGACTTGGGTATATGGAAGTTCAAGGTTAGCCTAGGGTGAATGAGAATCTACTTCTAAAAATGAAACAAACAAAAATATAAAGCTGTAGTAATTATTCAAAATTCAAGTATCATTTTTTTTAGTGTTGATAGGGGAAGGATGAAAGATCATTTTAGAATAGCAATTAAGACATAGGATAGTGATAGATTACATAGCCTGACTTCATGACTTACTAAGTTTGTGACTTTCACACTGTTACCTAACCTATTTGTATCTCGGTTACCATATCAAGAAGTGATGTTAGTAATACCTACCTCGAGGTTGTTACAAAGATTAAACACCTCATATATGTTATTTTAGTATTCTGGGTATTTTAAAACAGGTTGCATATGTGATACATAGTAAGTGTTCAATTATTTGGAGATAATATGATTGTAGTTTGCTATATGGCAGGTAATCAGCAACTGAGACCCTTCTGAGTAAAATTTATGACAGTCCATTTCAATTTTTGCAGACATGCACCTCCTTAAATTATCCTTCATTGCTCCATTTATGTCACTATTGATACATTTTGCCATACTTATTTTATATTTGTATTTAAATGATACATAAGCCATAAAACTTGTTCATATTAATAATATAACTTACACTGCATTAATAGGTATACATTGTGTAATATTTAAAGTAGGTTAACATATGTACCTCCTCAAACACTTATTTCTTTAAAATAAAACATTGAAGAATTCTCTGTTCTAGGTGTTTGTTTTTATCTCTAGTCACACTTCTCTGTGGTAGCATACCAGAAATTCTTGATGCTATCCAATGGTAACTGATCAAAATTACCCATCTACCCTCCCCACATTTTACTCTCATTTCTATGAGATTGACTGCATTAACATTCCACATACTGAGTGAAATCATGTCATAATTGTGTTGCTATGCCTGGCTTGTTTCACTAACATATTGATCTCCAGTTCTATCCATGTTGTCACAAATTACAGAATTTCATTCTGTTGTGACTGAATGGTATTCTATCTTGTACATATATAAACTCATATACATAGATACACAAAATATTCACTCATGCACACATGCACTACCATGAATTATAATTATAGGTTTGACATGAAGTTTATGTTCTACTGTCATCAGCATGTAATGCAGAAAGCCCTTACTTATTGAATGGATTAGCTAACTGCATGACAGCCTCCCCTTTATGTTTTATCTGAATATGCAAACCATTACATCTTGGGGTTCTAGCTTTCTAGCAAAGTTCTGTAGCTTTTTTTTCTTGCCCATTTAAAACATTCCCATTTTCCTGTTATCTTAAATGTTCATTTCCTCTTTTGTTACTAACAAAATCCCAGTTCTAGAAACTTGGTGAAAGACCCTAATTTCTAGGGCTCAGGGAAGGATTCCCCCAGACTCAATAAGCCACGCCAATGAATGCAAACAGCAAGAGGTTTTTTTTATTGTTGAGGGCACCTACAGGTGACTCAGTACTCTCATGAGACTGAGTCCCCCCCCCTGTATTTATAGGGAGGATTTACATACCAGGGAAGCATAACAACAGCAACATCATTGGTCAATTCAAATTATCATATGGGGTGGGTCAACATCAGGACAAAAACAAGTCTAGATCCAGCCAGTTTCAGCCAGTTTCTGCCCCCTCATGTTTTGATAGATTACACAAAGGATTGGGTGTTTTTCCTTTTTGGCAGGTGCAACTGGTCTCAAGACTGCTTCTGCTGCCCACAGATCTCTTGTTTTGCCCTGGCCTAGTTGATCATAAAAACATCTTAAGTTGGAGACTAGGGTTGGGGGTCTTTCATTTCCCCCCCCTTTTTCTTTATCATGGATTAAATCTTTATGTCCATTGGTTCTGATCCTTAGCTAGATTAGACTCTGAATCCGTTTTTCTCAGCATTTGATATTGCTGGGCCAGAACCATGAAAAGGTCAGATATATATAGAGAGAGGTTAAAATTAAGAGCGAACAAATCTTATCTTTAGGGGGGTTTGAGAGCGTTGAAGTTTCCATGGGGATTCTGGGTCAGGGGTGCCAGTGAGATGCTCTGGTTGGGCTGCTTTGACCTGTGAAGCGTGGATCCAGGCAGCAATTCCATCCACCTTCAGGGCTGTCAAATGGCAGTGTATGGCCCTTTCCACTGTGGCTCCAAAGTCTTGGTCTGATGTCTCTGGACCCAAACGCTATCGCCTATCTTGTAGGGATGTGGGACAACAGGTGACTGGTCTAAGTCCTGGTAGACAGCTGCCAGGGACTTCCAAATTTCCTGTTGCACCAACTGGAGAGCTTGCAAGTGAGCCTGCAGGGCAGTCAGCCTGCTGGTATCAACAATATCAGAGTCAAAGAAGGCAATGGTTGGAGGAGGGCCTCCATACAGGATTTCAAAAGGAGTTAATCCATGCGATCCCGGGGTGTTCCTGGCTCGATACAGTGCCAGGGGTAGGAGCTGCACCCAGTCCTTAGCGCCAGTCTCAAGCATCAATTTAAAACCTCCTTAATTGTTCTAGTCATTCTTTATTGCTGTCCTGAGCTCTGGGGCCTATAGGCACAATGCAATTTCCAATCAATCCCCAGTAACTTGGCCACTAATTGACTTACCTGGGAGACAAAGGCAGGACTATTATCAGTCCCAAGTACCTAGGGTAGTCTATACCGTGGGAAGATTTCTTCCAAGAGCTTCTTGACAACGGTCTGTGCAGTTTCCTTTTTGGTAGGAAAAGCTTCGACCCATCCAGAAAAGGTGTCTATAAAAACTAACAGATACTGATAACCATACATGCCAGGTTTAACTTCAGTAAAATCTATTTCCCAATGGATCCCTGGCCTATGCCCCCTGAGTCTGAGTCCAGGCAGCCTGTTTGTTTTGCCAGCATTTACTTGGGCACAGGCTTTACAATTGCTAACAATTTGCTATATCAGGGTTTCTTTCTTGGGTATATAGCTACCCATTTCCTGTCTGCTGAACAGGGTGTTCATCTTCTTGGTGCTCAGGTGGGTCAGTTTATGTAAAGAGGAAATTGGCTCTCTGGCTACATGTACAGGCATTACTGTCTTTCCTTGGAACATCCATCGTTGTCTCTTATGATCATAGTCTGCCCCCAATTTCTGGACTATATCCAGACCTTTATCGGCATAGTCAATCAAATCCAGATCTTTTTCTGGGCCTTCCTGTCAGTCCTGTTCAGTCAATACTGTTACCGACAAGAGCTGAGGGTCTAGGGCCGCCTGCTTGGCCGTTTCATCTGCCAGGCGGTTTCCTTTAGCTATTTCAGTCTCCCCTTTCTGATGTCCAGGGCAATGTATAATGCTTAGTCTCTTAGGGAGAAATAAGGCTTTAAGCAGGGCCAAGATTTCAGCCTTGTTTTTAATGTTCTTTCCTTCTGAGGTTAGAAGACCCCTCCTCCAGTATATTTCCCCATGAACATGAGCGGTGGCAAAAGCATAGCGGCTATTGGTATAGACATTGAGTGCTTTATCTTCTGCCAGCTCTAGGGCTTGGGTAAGCACGACGAGCTCTGCCCGCTGAGCTGAGGTTCCAGGTGGCAGGGCACTGGCCCAGATTACCTGCTTTCTGTCCATTATTGCTGCTCTGGCATTTCTTTCTCCGTTGAGCAGGTCACTTCTTCTATCCGTGTACCAGGTTAAGTCGGCCCCTTTCAGGGGTTGGTCCGTTAGGTCCAGCCGGGTTCCATGCATTTCCGCAAGGATTCGTTGGCAGTCATGAGGGGTTTGCCCCTCCGGAGTGGAGCAACGTGGCAGGATTCAGGATGACTGCTGGGCCGAAGTGGACCTTGTCTGCATCCAGCAGGAGTAACTGATAATGAGTCATTTGGGCATTGGAGAGCCAGCAGTTCAGTGGCTGGCAAATGAGTGACTCAACCACATGAGGGGCTGAAATGCTGAGGGGCTGTCCCAAGGTCAGTTTTCCAGCGTCTTTTATGCAACAAGAGATCACAGTGCTGAGTCACTGTGACAGCCAATACGTAACCAAACATTATGGATCCTATGTGAAGGACACCAAACCATGGATAATAATGGAATATCTTGGTGGATGCTCTGCCCTGGATTTAATAGAACCTGGCCCTTTAGATGAAATTAAGATTACTACCATATTATGAGAAATTCTGAAAGGACTTGATTATCTACATTCAGAGAAGAAAATCCACAGAGATATTAAAGCGGCCAATGTTCTGCTCTAGTTCAGACTGAATGTTGGGCTCCGGTGTCTACTAGGAAGGTGACTGGTTGCCCCCCTACTTTCAGGGTTGTCCAGGGTCGGGGGGGGGGGGGGGACTGCTGGCCCTGACTGGCCTAGTCTTCATCTAGGGCCAGCAATTGGGCCGGCTGTTTCCTGGGATTTCTGGGTCTCTTGGGACAGTCTTTAACCCAATGTCCTTTCTCTTTGCAGTAGGCACATTGGTTGCGGTCTACTCCTGGCCTCCTTCTGTCTCCCATCCTATCTGGATTCCCTGCTTCTGGCTTAGTCTGGTTAGCTACAGTGGCCAAAATGTTGCTTACTTCCCTAGTTCGTTTCTTGTCTCTCCTGTCCTCGCATTCTTCCATTTTCTTTCTAAGCCTATCATCTCTCTCTTCCTGCAACCTACGTAATCTTTCTTCTTTTTCTTCTGGTGTCTCTTTTTTGTTAAATATCTTTTCTGCCTCTTTCATAAGATCCTGGAGAGTATAATCCTGCAAGCTCTCCAGTCTCTATAACTTATTTCTAATATCTGGAGCAGATTGCCAGATGAAAGCCATGGAAACATTGCCCCGTTGATCTGGACTCAATGGATCATAAGGGGTGTACATACGGTAGACTTCCATTAGCCGCTCTAGGAAGGCGGCTCCTCTGAACCCTGTGTGACTGCTCTTACCTGGGCCAAATTAAGTAGGTCGGTGCCCTGCGCCACAGAGGCCCGCAATGAGAAGCTAGCAGTAGAGGCGAAGACGCTCCCTTCCTGCAGCTGTGTTGAAGTCCTAGTCAGGACAATTCAGGGGAAAGGCGGCATCAATCTCATTGGGGAGTTGGGTTGGGGCCCTGTTGGCCCCTGGAACATTCTTGCATGCCTCGAGGAAAACGCGCTGTTTTTCCTCTGAGGTCAGTAGAGCCTGCAAGAGTTGTTGGCAGTCATCCCACGTGGGTTGATGGGTTATGAGAATAGACTATTAGGGCCGTGAGGGCAACAGGGTCCTTCGAAAAGGACGAGTTATGGGTCTTCCAATTGTACAAATCGGAAGCAGAGAATGGCCAGTATTGAACCTGGCCGTTCCCCCCCTGCTGGAGGGGAAACGCCTGGGAGACAGGCTCCTGAGGCTCCGGGTGTCCTCTGAGGCGGCAGCAGTTCCCCTTCTGTCACCCCAGCTGGAGTGGTGCTGTCTGGGGCAGTTTCATCTCCTGGTTCCTCAACTTCATATTCATGATGTCCTTCGTCCCCCACCGGGGCTGGTGGAGGCTGATATGGTGGGGGGGGGTCCTCTGTTAGGAGGTCTATGAGTGGTCCCCCCAAGGGAGGGAGGACTGGCTTGGGGATTATGGGCTTGGGTTTAGGTTTCTCCAGAATAGGATAAAGGCAGGTAGGTTGGGGTTTGAGGGAGGCATCGGGACTGGGGGTAGGTTGCAAAGGGGTGGAGGAGGAAGGAGGTTGAGGAGCAGAGGGCTGCGGGGAGACAAAGGGGGAGACCCAAGCAGGTGGGTCCCGAGCCAAAGATTCCCAGGTGATGATAGAGGGAATCTGATCTGGGCATCCTTGGGGTTCTGGGCTGAAGACACGCTCCTTAATCTGCAAGATAACATCCAAGTTAAAGGTACCATCCTTTGGCCAGGTGGAATTAAGAGTCGGCCATTCGGAGGTACAAAGGAGCCGCCATTTCTTCTTGACATCCACCCCCTGGCCTTTGGCCCAGAGCTAGACGTCTTTCCAGTGTCCTAGAGTCAAACTTAAGGAGGTGGTTAGATTTTGTCCCATATTGGGCTTTTCTTCCTAATACATCAAGACAAAGACTATACAGACAAAACAGACAGACAGCAGGCCAGAAGCCGTGTGGCAAGGTTTTGGCATAAAACTGAAAGCAAATGTTCAGACGGAGAAGGCCAGACTACATCTCCCCTACTCTCTAGTAGAGTGGCCAGTTCATTCTCAGAAACAAATTGGACCCCATAAAATCGGGCCCCAGGAATCCCCGGAACGTCTCCCAGGGTGGCTAAAGAGGAGTACAGAACCCATCAGCTCCCTCCTTGCCTCCTTTGCTTAGCCTACAGAGCATTTGTACATACAAACGACTTACAGAAACACCTAACGAATCACACAATGGAACACACAATAAAACACTCAACGGACAGACGGTTACCTCCGTGGCACTGTGGGTTATCGAGTAGGGGAATCTTGATGGAACCTCCAAGATGAAAGACCCTAATTTCTAGGGCTCATGGAAGGATTTCACCAGACTCAATAAGCCACGCCAATGAATGCAAACAGCAAGAGGATTTTGTATTGTCAAAGGCGCCTACAGGTGACTCAGTACTCTCATGAGACTGAGCCCCCCTGTGTATTTTTTCAGCAAGTATTTATAGGGTCTCAGGGTTACATACCAGGGAAGCATAGCAACGGCAACACCATTGGTCAATTCAAATTAAAATATGGATTGGGTCAACATCAGGACAAAAACAAGTCTAGATCAAGCCAGTTTCAGCTAGTTCCCCCCCCCCCCCGGTTTTGATAAATTACACAAAGGACTGGGTGTTTTTCCTTTTTCGCAGGTGCTTCTGCCACCCACAGATCTCCTGTTTTGCCCTGGCCTAGTTGATCATAAAAACATCTTCAGTTGGAGACTAGGGTTGGGGGTCTTTTATTGGTACACATGGATTTACAAAATAAAAACTTTATCACATAATGAAAAATCTGATTCATGATTATTTTTTGTCTTTAGATTTTTTTGAGAATTTCATATATGAGCACTGCATCTATATCACCTATATCGCTCTTGCCCCTCCTTTCTCTCCATCTTTCCCTTTCAAATTTGTGACATATATATACACACACACACACACACTGAAAGCTAACTATTCAGAGTACATATACTGTTTTTCATAAGTATTGATAAAGCATTTTAATTACTGATACTTTCATATTTTGAAGGAATGTGAATTATGTATTTTCATGTAAATTTCTGTATTCATTTAGGATTTGCTTTCTCATATGCTTCATATGGACCCACGTCAGCGTTATACTGCTGAACAAGTATTAAAACACTCTTGGATAACCCAGAGAGAACAGTTGCCGAGGGATCAGCCAAAGACAAATGATGCATCACATGTTGTTACGGTAAAATGAACACACAATTAATGTGTATCTCATGTTACCCATTGATGTATAAAATATCTTTATTTCTTGAAGATAGATTTTTTTTAACTTCTGAGTGTTATTTTAAAACTAAAACTCACTCTTTTGTCACGTTTTTTTCTTTTTTTTAATATAATTTTTTATTGAAAAAAAATTCTGCCTCCTCCCCTGCTCCCCTTTCCCTTCCCTCTTCCCT